GCCGTTGTTGTTGTTGTCCGGGGGGCCAACAACGCAGTTTGATGCCCACGACTTTCCCTGATAAAAAACAGGGTGCGAGCCCCGGAAGGGGCACTTCAATTGAAAAAATACAATGTCCGCCGGAGGGGGGGATCAACAATAATTATTCTTCAGTAATTAGAGTTCAACAACAACAACAACAACAACAACAACAACAGCAGCAGCAGCAGCAGCAGCAGCAACAGCAACAGCAACAGCAACAGCAACAACAACAACAACAACAACAACAACAACAACAACAACAACAACAACAATTACTAGCACGTGGGGACACTCCGTTCTCACCAGTGCCAGGGTTTTCATAGGAGGCGGGCAATACCCCCATTTTGTGGGGGGGCCGGTTCAAGCTCTACCAAATTTCCAAACGACTCTTCGCCACCACCCACACCCAGCTTCCCGCCCTATGACGTTCGGACACTTCACTTCGTGGCATGCGGACGACCGTGGCTACTATTCAGGGCCCCGCGGCCGACGACGACGGCGTGCGCGCGCGAAGAAAAAACGAATGTGTCCCGCATGGTATTATTTGACAGGGATGATGGCCCTGGCAGGTGCGCAACCGTTGTTGCAGAAGTTCGAAAAAGTTGCTCGCAAAAGCCCGTTTGACAGAAATGTTTAAAAAGTGTTGGGTTTCCTACGAATCCGCAAGAGCGCGCGGGATGAAATTTTGACAATTTTTTTTGAAAAAAAAACATTGGTTTTTTATGTTTTTATGTTAAAATCGCTACGAAAACTAAGGTTTTGGAAGGATTTCGTCTTGCGCGCGCGAATGTCCACTTTACCTTATTTTTTGCAAGGGATTCTTGAAGTTTGGTTATGTTAGAACAAGAAATGTCCACTTTAGCTTATTTTTTGCAAGGGAAAGCGGGCCGTAACAAAACAACCGGATCCGGACCAACCCGTTTTGCCTGAGACTTCCTCACGAAAATGATGAAAATGTGGCTGCGGCCTAGGCGCGGCGGGGGGGTCGTGCACCAGGGGTCCCAACAATAATTATTCTTTAGAAGTAATAATAATGTTCAACAACAACAACAACAACAAAAACAACAGCAATAACAACAATAACGACAATCATTTTAAGACTGTTCACTCTCATCTGCTCGAGTGTCATTCAGCGTGCATTTCCCGAACCCTCGATACCCGCCCTCTTCGTTTTCGATCATACCACATTTGGTGGGTATATAGTTCTTCGTGAGTTCTGCGTGATTAGCCAAGAAATTTCCAGCAAGAGAGCGATTCCTAAGCAAATTTGAAAAAGTCGCGAGCGAACGCGCGATTGCTCAATGGCAAGAGCGCGGCGCCTGAGTAAATTGCGAAGAAGTCTCAGGCGGGAGCGCGATTCTTGGGTAAATTGCGAGGAAGTGACAAGCGGGAGTGGGGGACCGGAGTAAATTTCGAGGAAGTATCAAGCGGGAGCCGTTGTTGTTGTACACAGGGGGCCAGGGACACAATTTGAGGAGGAAGCCTTTCTCTGATAAAAGGGTGCGAGCGCCGGGAGGGGCACTTCAGTTGAAAAGCACCATGTGCACCGGAAGGGGGATCAACAATAATTGTTCTTCAAAAGTGACATGTCAACAACCACAACAACATCATCATCATCATCATCATCATCATCATCAACAACAACAATAGCAAACAAAAACAAACAAAAAACAAAAACAAACAAAACAACTCCAACATCGCCTAATACAGCCCCAAGAGGGGCCCGGGAAAAAATCCACAGCGGCCCCAGGCGTGCCCACGAGCGCCCCAAGAGCGGCCCACGAGGGCCACAAGAGGATGCGCTTCGACCTCCGACGGAGGGGAACTTAATTCGTGACCCACCTTTTTTTTGACCGAAGGCCTCCAAGATGACCCCAAAAGGGCCCCAGGAAGCCCCAAGGGGGCCTCAGAAAAGGTCCCAAAGCAGTCCTTGATTGCCACAAGAAGGCATCAAGACGCCTCGGAAAAGCGCATGATCCGCAAAGGCCTATATGATTAACGTCGCGTGCAACTCGCCTGGCTATCGTCTCAGGATGGGCAGCTGGGGACTTTTTCGTCGCGGCCGCAAGCGGAAGCGCAGGCGGCGTCCGAAGTCAGCCCGGGCTACGAGCCAAACCTAATTGCCTAAGCGTGCGAACGAACGGCCGCCGAAACTGCCGCCGAGGGACGCCGAGGAGCGACGCCGGGGACTGAAGGCAGAACTGCAAGAGGTGCCATGTGTGCCAGGCGGCTGACGTGCAACCATTCCAGGGGCGAGACCACGCAGGTGGGGACTTTTTTGTCGCAACCGCAGGCGAAGACGCCGGCGGCGTCACAGGTCGGCTCGGGCTACGAGCGGAACTACTTGCCAAGCGCGCGCGCAAGCAACAGCTAAACCTACCGCCGAGGGGAGCTGGGCTGCGCCGAGGGCAGAGGCTGCAAGCTGCCGGGGGCTGCCAGGAGGCTGTGCAGGCGCGCGGGAGACCACCGGGATGAGTGAGTTGGACCTTGTCGCATCCAGGCGCCAGAGGTCGACGCGCCATAGAAGTGGCGAAACGCAGGGCTGCATAAACAGTCCAACGTGCTAGGCTGCAGACCGACAGGGGAAACGCACATGACCGACCAAGAAAGCTGAACCACTCCTGAGTGAACCAGCGGGTCGGAATCCCAACAGGCCAGCGGCAACAGAAGACACGGCCAGGCTGTGGCGGTGACTGGGGACCAGAAGCCAGGGAAGTGCAAGCACTTGTGCCGGAACTGGTCACGACGCACGTCACCTGAACGCCAGGGTGCCTCACCCGACTCCACGGAACCAGAATGAGTGCCACAGGCGCGAGGGACAGAGCGGGGTCGAAAGCACCGAGGGCGGAGGTGACCAGAGCCCAGGAGCCCGCGACAAGACGCGTGAGTCGGAGACGTCACGAAGAAGGGCCAGTGCCAGGGAAACCGAGCCAGGGCAGGTGGGGACACGCGAAGCGTCAAGAACTTCTAGGCGGACCCACCCGTGGCAACGAGGGCACACGAGGAGGCCCAAACGTATCCCGCGACGTACCCAACCCATCTGCAACAAGTGACAAGAACAATGGACCAAAGTGCTGCGGATGATGGAGCGACAAGGAGCGCGATTTGTCGTGGACGCTAGATGGGATTTGAGCGACGCCGTACCTCAGAAGATGGCATGCCAAGAAGAAGAACACGAAAGCTCACCTTTGAACAGGCGACACGTGCGCAAACCGCAGCCACCAAAGGACGGCGAAGTTCCGCGTGGGTCTTCGCGGGACACCACTCCGTTGGACCTCCCAGGAGCCCACGAGAGTGGCCATCGTCATGCCCTTCGCAGCTGACCAGGGACGGCGAGGTCCCGCTCGAGTCTGCGTGGGGCACCCCGCTGGACCTCCCAGGAGCCCGCGAAAGCGGCGACCGTGACGCAGACCGCTGCCCCCCAGGGACGGCGAACTCCCACTGGGGTCTGCGTGGGACGCCACCTGCTGGCCCTCACCGGGGCCCATGAAAACGGCGACGGCTGCGCGGTTCGCAGCCCCCAGGGGACGGTCTTTCATACACCCCCCAATATTGGGCAGGCTATTCTTTGTTCGGGGCCTCGTTGAGGGGCGCCGACACCAATCAATATAACCGACAAGTTATTATTTCGCCGCCGCCGTCGCCGTCGTCGTCGTCGCCGCCGTCGCCGTCGTCATCGCTGTCGTCGTTGTCGTCGCCGCCATCGCTGCTATCGTACTTCAAGCCTTGTACGAACAGGCGCGGAATTCCTCCCTTGTGCAGGGTAGCCCAAGGCGAACCAGTGGGCGCGCAGAGTGCATTGCCAGCCAAAGCATCATCTGGGTCCGCGTGGGACACCACTCCGCTGGACTCCACAGGGGCCCACGAAAGTGGCGACGGCTGCGCAGTTCGCAGCCCCCGGGAAACGGCGAGGTCTAATCTGGTTCTGCGTGGGGCACCACTCTGCTGGACCTCCCAGAGGCTCACGAAAGTGGCAACAGCTGCGCAGTTCGCAGCCCCCAAGGGACGGCGAGGTCTAATCTAGGCCTGCGTGGGACGCCATTCCGCTGCCCCCCTCGAAAGTGACGACAGCTGCAGGCCCCCAGGGGGCGACGGGGTCTAATCTGGGCCTGCGTGGGACACCACCCCGCTGGACCTCACAGGAGCCCACGAAAGTGGCGACACCTGCGCAGTTCGCTGTCAAATCTGGTTCTGCGTGAGACACAACTCCACTGGACAACCCCGAAGCCCACGAAAGAGGCAAAAATTGAGCAGTTCCCAGCCCATAGGGCTGCGCTGGACATCCCAGGAGCCCAGAAAAGTGGCGACTGTTGCGCAATTCGCAGTTCCCCTGGGAGGGCAGAGAGGAGGAGGAAGTATGAGGTGGGAAAATATAGGAGGTAGGACGCAGGAGCCAGGAGGATGGGAGCAGCAGTGCTCCGTTCAAACGCGAACCCAACGCAGGAGGACTAAAACCAAAAAAGCACCCAAAGACCTCGATCATCAATCATCCTTCTCCCTCCCCTCATCTTATCCCTTCCCTCCTCAGGCCTCCCAACCACTTCCCCCATCTCTCCCTCTCCTCATCCTCCTCGCTCCATTCTCCGGCTCCTCCCCCATTCAGGCACACGCTATGGATTTGGAATCAGGGGATCAGTGGTCTGGCGCGTGGGCGCCAGATCCACGGGTCGGGTAATGTACCCCCCGAAACGTAACGATTTGGCGACGGAGCGCGTCGAATGTATAAGCACATAAGACCAATCGCTAATTCACGCGCCATATCCATGTTTGCGCTTCCTCGACCCATGCCGCGCCTCCCCTTCTCCTCCCCCTCCTCTTCCCACTTCCCTCCATCCCCCCTCCCCCCCATGCCTCCCTTTCTTTCTTCCTCCCTCCCCCCCATGCCTCCCTCCTCCCCATGCCTCCCCCCCCCCTCCCTCAATCCCTCCCTCCCCCCGCTGCCTCTCTCCCTCCTCCATCCCTCCTCCCCCCCTCCCCGCCTGCAGGGTTCCGCGGCCTTCTGCTCCGCCTCAGCGCGCGTGCGCAAGCTCAGGGATGGGGCGGGGAGAGGCGAGGGGCAGCGCGTGCAACGGGGACCTCGCCGTCGTCGTCGTCGCCGTGGTCTCCGTGGTCGCGACCGTCGTGGTCGGTATCGGCGTGGCCGCCGCCGTGGCCAGGCCCCGCGGTCGTGGTCGTCGGCGTCTTCCTCCTCCTCCGCCTCCTCCTCCTCCTCCTCCTCCTCCTCCTCCTCCTCCTCCTCCTCCTCCTCCTCCTCCTCCTCCTCCTCCTCCTCCCCCTCCTCCTCATTGATGTTACGGAGGCGCTGGCCACAGTTTGGCCTCCTGGGGGGGGGCTGGGCGTGGGGAGACCCTGATTAAGGAGCCCCCCTCCTTTGATCGACCTCCTCCAAGATGGCCCCAAGATGGTCCCCGAGGCCCCCAAGGGTGCCCCAAGGGGGCCCCAAGGGGGCCCCAAGAGGTGCCCTGGAGGCCCCTAGAGGCCCTAAGAGGAACCCAAGATGCCCCCAAGAGGCCCCCAAGAGACCCCCAAGAGGCTCCAAGAGCCCCCCCCCGAGGCACCAAGGACGCCCCGAGTAGCCCTTAGGACTGCCAGGAGACCCCAAAGGCGTCCCAAGAGGACCCCAAGAAGCTCTCGAAGAAATCCGAGAGGCATCCAAGAGGCCTCTGGCCGCCTTTCTGCTCGCCCTCTTCCTCCTCCTTTTCCTCATCCGCCTGCTCCTCCTTCCTCGTCCCTCCTCCTCCTCCTCCGCCTCCTCCTCCTCCGCCTCCTCCTCCTCCTCCACCTGCGCCTCCGCCTCCGCCTCCGCCTCATCCTCATCCTCCTCCTCCTCTTCTTCCTCCGCCTCCTCCTCCTTAATATAATCACCAGCATCATCATCCTCATCATCATCACCAGCATCATCATCAGCATCATCATCAGCATCATCATCACCATCATCGTCATCATCATCAGCATCATCATCGTTCTCATCCTCATTCTCATGATCCGCCTCCGTCTCCTCCTCCTCCTCCTCCTCCTCCTCCTCCTCCTCCTCCTCCTCCTCCCTAGAACGCGGACGAAGATGATGTCGGAATCACGACCGTCTCCAATACAAACCACTCGCTGAAATACCGCAGGGCGTGAACTCGACTTCACTCTTACAGCGCGGACGAAGTCCCTCCTACCGCGCGGACGATGACGAGGTCGGGTTCACAACCCGTCCGTATAAGACCTCTCGTCGGAACTACGCTGTTACTACACTCAGTCTCCTACCTGCAGCGCTATTGCACAGGCACGGTGGCGGGGTTTGCCGCAGGCAGCTGGATAACATCATCCACCACGTCGGTTTGCAGCGTTGATCGTGAGTTGCACACGCTTTGTTTTGCTGAAACGATGGTGGTGGGGATGACGGTGGCGACGCAGGTGTCCAGCTGCAAGAAAAACAATTACATTGACGTAACATATCGGCTAAAGCAGAAGGCAAGAGGGAGAGAGAGCAGGAGACAGGGACGGAGAACGGGAAGCGAAGTCGGGGCCTGGAGTCAGTAGCGGGACGGGGGGAGGAGGAAGCAAAAGGAAGGAGGCAAGAGGAAGGAGAAGGGAGCAGGAGGAAGGGAGAAACCCATCGAGCTTTCTCCCTGTCCCCCTTGGCGAGATGTTGGCACCAGCGCCAAGAGCCAAGAGACAGCCGAGAACGACGACAAAGGTCAGTGCAAGCAGTGTGCCTCTCCCTGCGCGTCGAGACCCCGATCGCGAAAAGGGGGATCGAGCGATGAATCGTGGAGGTGCGAAGGAGGCCCAGGGTGACCCCGCCGAGGCGACAGGGGCGCTGGGGGCCCACACAGCCACGTGCTGCTGGCGACATGGAAGACGACAACGGCAACCATGGCACGAGACAGACAGGCAGAAGCCACAGACCGAACTCGTGGGGCATGGGACGCACAGAGACATACTAACACGATATGTCCTCCTTGGAGAAACGCGTCCGACCCGAATATATAGCATACCCATATTGTAGTACATCGTTTCCCGAGCGGCGCAGAAAGAAAGCGCCCGCAACGACGCATATACTAGAAGATTTCTCGGTGCGCGCATCGCCCCTTTGGGGGCGACGCACATACAGCATTAAGTATGTTGGGGTGACGCCGAGGGCAGGGCAAATCCACAGCCCGAAGCCGTGCAACGGCCGACAGGCAGACAGAAGCCGCAACACTCCGAGGTGTCGTTCCGTGGCGATGATAACGAAAACCCCAGGCATCCAGCGGTAGCCCAAGAGGTCCTGACCCCTTCCCCTGGGGCCAGGCTTTCGCCCCGAGTCCGTTTCTGATAGCCATAGAGCCCGCTAACCGGCCCTGGAGGCCGAAAGTAAGGAAAACGCTCGGCCTAAAAAACATGCGGTCGTCGGAGACCTGGGACGGCAGCGATGGCACGATGACAATGATGAGGGCGATATGGAGGCGGACAGCATAAACCCACAGAAAATATGTCAGCAGGGGCGGATGAACGCAAATTCGCTCAGAATCGGTCCCCAGGACCCCTCCCGGCCTCGAACCTGACCAATGTTCGAGCCGCGTCCAGCCATGGCGACGAGAAGCACCCTTAAGGTCCACAAAGAAAAGCAAAATTCCCTTTACCCCCTGTTGGCCAGAACCAAGGCTGGGCCTCCTCAGCCCTCCAGCCGGCTCCAAGGTAAGGGCGATGATTCTGGCACTCGTCGTCTGGGACTCGTCATCGACCCCCAGCCAGACCAGCTGTTCATCCTGTATCATTTTGTCACGAGACCTGGCCAAGCCCCCCAGAGGCCGAAACGCAACGATGGCAACCATGGCACGATGACAACAACAATGGCACGAGGACAAATAAACTGCATAAACATAAACTTCCGGCACGGATTTCTAGGATCTACGCTGAACCCCCTAGGGGAGCGCGGAGCGCGCCAGGGCGGCGCCAGAGCGCCGACAGGTGGATCTGCGCGACGCTCCGAATGGCTATGATTGTGTTGCTTATTTGTCATATTGCTATTACTATTGGGAACCATGAGTATTTCTTATTGATTGATTATATAGTCCTTATCCCCGTTATTAGTAGTGGTAGCTACTTCTACGACGACTACTACTACTACTACTACTACTACTACTACTACTACTACTACTACTGGTACTACCACCACCACCACCACCACTACCACTACTACTACGACCACCACCACCACCACTACCACTACTACTACTACTACTACTACTACTACTACTACTACTACTACTACTACTACTACTACTATTACTATTACTATTACTATTACTATTACTACTACTGCTACTGCTACTGCTACTGCTACTGCTACTGCTACTGCTACTGCTACTGCTACTACTACTACTACTACTACTACTACTACTACTACTACTACTACTACTACTACTACTACTACACTACTACTACTACTACTACTACTACTACGGACTACGACTACGACTACGACTAGACTACGACTACTACGACTACGACTACGACTACGACTACGACTACGACTACGACTACTACTACGACTACGACTACTACTACTACTACTACTACTACTACTACTACTACTACGACTACTACTACTACGACTACGACTACGACTACGACTACGACTACGTTTACTACTACTACTACTACTACTACTACTACTACTACTACGACTACTACTACTACTACTACTACTACTACTACTACTACTACTACTACTACTACCACCACCACTGCTCCTCGAATTAGTAGTATTGCTATGGTTACTGTACATGATGTGTCTCTCAATCGTCTTCTCGTTATTGTTCTCTTCTTTTGAAATGGTGTATCAACTTTATTATACGTAGTATTACGGCTATTAGTATTCATACGATTGTTGTTGCTCGTCTTACTATTATAAATATGCCTACTATGTTCCGTATTAGTGTTATCAGTGTCTCATTCGCGCTCGCATTCCGAATGGTATTCTTCTCATGAGGAATATTGTCTGACCGTGTTCGATAATATTCTTCGTAACAGCATCATTATTAGCATGAGCACCATCCTTGTTCGTCTTGTTCGTTTCTGAGCTCTCGCTACGGTTATCACTGAGATAATATTCTTCGTAACAGCATCATTATTAGCATGAGCACCATCCTTGTTCGTCTTGTTCGTTTCTGAGCTCTCGCTACGGTTATCACTGAGCTCTCGCTGCGCTTAGCACTGTTACTACTATGGCATTACTATGGTGAGTCGCCTTCTGTGTCTTCTTCTCATTAGTACTATGCTCGTTCGTTGTATGGCCACCCCTGTTACTCGCATTACCAGTGTACTGATTCTTCTGGCCACTATCCATACTTCTTAACATATTACTCTGCTTACTCTCATGACCAGTGTCTTCATTCGCCTGCCTCCTCTAGAGAGCAGAAAATCCACCCCCATAAGAAGCACCCCGACAAGCGAAGCCGTTTAGTAAACGCGCCCATGGAAGGAATCGAACAGGGCAGGGCTGTTTAGTAAACGCCCAGGGCTGTTTAGTAAACGCGACTTGTCGGGGTCGGGGTGGTTTTTCCGTCCTTGATCCTCTTCGAATGACAGCGGCGATTGTCGGCGCGGCCCGGGTGGCCCCAGCCGGCCGCGCGCGCGCCGCCCTCGGCCGCCCGCCGGCCCTCGGGCGCCCGCCCGGGGGGGGGGCGCTC